GTGCAGGGCAAGAAATTCCAGAGGATATTCATTCATAGGGTCACCATAAATTGGAGATGATCAGGTGTGCAATTTTGTACAGTTTCAAGCTATTCTCATAAAAATGCCACAGATAGAGGGTGTTCAAAGTGCTGAATATGGACACATCTTTCCTACTTACTCTCACTTGCAGCTTAGAGTATCATATATTTCTGTGGATCAAAAGCAATGAAAAGATGTAATTTGGGTGTTTGGAGAAGGCCTGCCTTTTGTTGGTTTGATGAAGCTCTGAATGGAAGTTTGAAAGGTGTTTTGAATGTCCTTGCCTTTAAGATTCCTACTGTAGCAGCTGCTGCCAATGTTATGTTGGGCATTTTCAGTTTCACAGTGAATCTAGAACTCAAAGCTTTTCTGAGGAATTCTGTGACACATCCTGTCTTGCACATATGTGAGGTTCATTGGCAAAATGTCACACATTACAAACCAGATGGTCTAAGTAATATTCTCTATCAATAAACAAATCAATCAGTAAAATCTAGCTATGTGGATGCACTGAGTTTCCAACTTATATGTTTTACTTAATGTGATGGGGAACGCTAGGACAGAAGAAAGTGTAGAAATTGTTGGATGGGGCCAGCAATAGTCAACTGGTATAAATTCATGCTACACATTAAACACTTTTCATCTAATTGTGTATTTTTAAACAGCTTTTTAAGCAATGGTATAGTCACTTACAACATGATCCCCTTGACAATGACTAAGAAAGTGGAGAATGAAGGAATAGTAAAGCAAACATAACTTGTGCCATTGCAAAGCATGAGAAGTGGATATGGCAACCTAATTTGAGGGCTCAGCCTTAGCTTCCAGGTTCCTGGCTCTGTGGATCTTGAGCCAACAGGAAATGGCTGAGGAATGACCTTGTGCAACCTGCTGGTGCACCCAGATCTCCTGACCTGTTCCTCCTGATTGCCCTGACATTATTCCCAGCAGAGGAAAATCTGAAAGCTAACAATAGGAGCAGCTCTTTCATTGTGATTCTGCTTTGGAATTCTCTTCCCTCTACAGTGGGACCAAGGCCACCCTTGATGAAGTTTAAGCTCTTGTTGCATACTGAGCTATACATAGTATTTGCAGATATTAACTTATGATTTGGAATTACTTCTTTTACACTTTTATCTTTGCATTTTATTGTGACTGATGTGTAAACATAGTCTATTGGCCACTAAGTGACTATATAATAATGGGAAGTGCATATCTATTAACTAATTATTTTTCTTCAGCAGAGTTCTGACTCAGCTCTACCAGCATGTCCTGACCTTGGAATTTGCCACAAAGCAGATCAATGGAAATTCCCAGTTCCTACCCAATCTCACCCTGGGCTTCCGCATGTATAATAGCAATTTCAGTCCTAGATGGATCTACCTTGCCTCAATGGAAGTTCTCTCCTCATGGGACAGATTTGTCCCTAACTACAAATGTGATGTGGAGAGAAATCCTGTAGCAGCTATAGGGGAATCTGACAGCTCAGTCCACATGGCAACTGTACTGTGCATGCACAAAATTGCACAGGTAAGAGGTTCATATGAATCATGGGAATCTACACTCCTTTAAGTATTTCTTTTCATCCTGTGTTTCAGATGACATATTTGCAGGATACCTGTGTAGCCAAAACACTAATCCACCAATCCAATTCAAGACCATTTCAAACATGCCTTCTGTACCAAATTGTGGCAGACACATACATACAGAAATGGCATTAACTCTAACAGGAACTTTATTCCCTAATGCAATTTGTTTTAATGTGACCAAGTCATCTCAGAGTGCAATTCAAGATTCATGTTTCAAAAGATCTCAGCTACTTGGCTCTTGGACAGCTGAAGGATCATCAACTCCTTTATGAATTTGCCCATTCCTTCAGGTTAGCAGCTACAATCTATTCCCCTAAAGGCAGCAGCAGGAAAAGAAAGAACTCCCAAAATATCTTCTCACCTCACCATGTTTGTAAGGGAGAAAAAGTCCTTTCAGAAAGGTTGCTCCAAATATGTAGAGGCTGGTGATCCAGCTTCAAAAATGAAAAAGTGTGCACAAATCCATGTGTTTTTGAAGAAGCATGGAGAACTGAATCAGTATTTGAAAGTGACATTCAAATATACCTATTGGAAAAATGCAGATAAAAACACTTGCCTCATTGGAAAAGTATCTCCAAAAATGCTTCCTGGTGAAAACTGCTTTAAAATGCATATTGGTGGGTGGGGAGAGAAACAGAAAACAATGTTCCCATGAGAATGCATGAATAGATTTGTTTCACAGTTCATATCTCAGTTCAAAACTCCCCTTTTCTTATGTATACATAGTTACATATAGACGTACATACAAACATAGAGACACCTTTCGTCAGTATTTTCCTCCTTTTGTTTTTCCTTTATCTTCTCTAGCTCCCATACGGGTCTGCTCCAGTAGTAAAGAATGAAAACCAAGCTGCCTTTTTCCAGCCAATGTTCCCACATGGAGTCCATCAACAGAGGGGCATTCTCCAGCTGCTTTTGCATTTTAGGTGGACATGGATTGGCATTCTATCAGTGAAGAGTGACAATGGGGAGAGGTTTGTAAATGAAATGCTTTCCACATTTTCCCACAAAGGGATTTGCTTTGATTTCATACAAAATTTCCCAATAGTCACCTTTTTCATTCAAGTGTCTAGTGTTCTGGATGAATCAACCAAGGTATACAAAGTTGTCATGGAAAGTACAGCCAATGTGGTGGTTGTATATGGTGAAATCCAGACCATGATCATTTTGAGAGTGGTTCTCCAAGTTTCAGAAATAGATGAAATACCAAAGAAGGCAAAAATCTGGATTATGACAGCCCAGATGGACTTCATATCTGCTTTTCTTCATCAAAAGTGGAACATAAGCTTCCTCCATGGAGCTCTCTCCTTCGCAATTCACACAAAGGAGGTGTTGGGATTCCGGGAATTTCTTCGAACCAAAAATCCATCCTTTGGAACACAGGATGGTTTCATCAAGGATTTCTGGGAGCAGTCATTTAATTGTGCCTTCCCCAGTTCTGATAAAGATAAACAATCTGAGAGAGCCTGCACTGGGGAGGAGAAGCTTGAAACTCTTCCTGCATCTGTCTTCGAAATGAGCATGTCTGGCCTCACCTACAGCATCTACAATGCTGTCTACACGGTGGCACATGCTTTGCAGTCAATGCAGCCATCCAGTTCGAAGCAAAGAACAATGGCAGATGGAGGAAGGAAAAACATTCAGAATCTGGAAGCCTGGCAGGTAATGCTGGGCATACCTTAGGGAGCTGACCCAGTTTGTGAGTCTGGTCCACCTAGGCCTCACTTTTCCTATTTTAGTGGTTTTCCTTCTAGGTATGAGATCTGAAATCTTTGCACTTTTCAAAACAAATAAGCAAAAAATCATACAAAGTTTAATGAAGTGCTCTCATAAGATCACCTGCAAAGTCCTCTAGGGAAGAGTATTACCAATATTGAGATGAGTTTTATATTTGTTCCTGTGAAGTCCCATCTAGTTGTTGCTGACGTACAATGTACAGAACTTGCCTCCCCTGAGAAATGTAGTACGTGGAAAGATTCTACCTGACAAGGATATTTTCAAGGGGACTACATCTCCACATCCTTTATTCCCCTCGTCCTCCTTCCATTTTGGGTTTAAAATGCTTTAGTCCAAACCAGAGTGGTTCTTGTCTTGATTTGCTCTCTTGGGTCTCTTTTTGCTCGCATTTCTCGGCAATTTGCCTATCATTCTAGAATCCAGCATTGTTAACTTATATTCACAACACAAATGCTATACATACTATCAGAAGTAGCCTGAAGAAAGCCAGTCACCCAGAGGATCACAGCCTCTAATGCCCAGCTCATTGTTTCTTTTCATGATCGTATGCACAGCTCTCAGAACATTTGTGTCCTTCTTCACTTCCCGTTTAGCTCATTCACTTTCTCAGAAGTGTCTGCTTCAACAACACTGCAGGAGATAAGATTTCCTTTGACAGTAATGGGGAACTGATAGCTGCATTTGATATCATCAACTGGGTGACTTTCCCCAACAAGTCATTTCTCAGAGTCAGAGTTGGGGGGATTGACCCCTGGGCTCCAGCAAACAAGGTGTTCAGAATTGAAGAGGATTCCATCACCTGGCCTAGCTTTTTTAATCAGGTAGGGCTTGTATCCATGTGCACATATGTCTCCATTCATTTCACCAAAGCAGTATCTTGTGAAATCAGAATAATAACTCCTCCTCCTCCTCCTCCTCCTCCTCCTCCTAAATGAAACATCCTAAATGCCTGCTTCAGAGGGCCAAATGTGTCAACATGTGTTTGAATACTAGGCATTGCTTTTCTGCTCCAACTGCCATTGATCTTATTGGGAATGGAGAGCACAAGAAAAAGAAGTCTGCCTTACGACCCCAGGCTACTTAGATCTAGTGTCGCAGATTCTTTGTTGTAGCAGTAAAGTCTTACAAGCTTGTCTTCCTTTCTTTAGCTACTTGGAGGGCATTTCTTAAATGGTATCTGGCTCTGAATCCACTTCTGCCTAACTCCCAACTTGTCTGTACGATTGTTCCTTTTTACTTGCTGTGCTTTCTTTGGTTGCTGAGAGGGGCAAAATCTGGGTAGGATTCACTCTCCCAAACCCATACCCAAGTTGGTGAGCTCAGGAGGCAAAAACTACAATGTTATGATCAGTGGGGCACATAGGATTGTTATGTAATTCAGATTTTTTGCAGTTCTAGACAATTACAAGCAGTTGTGCACATAGTAAGATGGAAATGAAGGCCTCAGATTTGGAAATATGTATATAGTTTTGAAATGGGAAATAACGCCCTCAATAGTGGAGGTTCCAATAGCCCATTGTATATCATGACTTCTTAGGAAATAACACCATTACAATCTGTGGTGGCAGCTGTCAATAGGCTTTGGAAGTGAACATGCTTCAACAAACTGTGAACTCACAAAACAGAATGCAATGAAGGGCCAAGATGTGCCAAATTGCCAACAGGTGCAGCCGGTTTCTTTGTGTAATCCCTATTGCAATGAAGGCTTTAGCAAGAAAAAGAAGGAAGGGGAGCCATTTTGCTGCTACGATTGCTTTTCATGTCCAGAAGGAAAGATTTCCAACAAGAAGGGTAAGATATATCATGTATAGTGATTTATGTTGTGTTTTGTTTCTAGTGTGCATGGGGCTCATAAATACCATGCCTCTCATATTTCAGAATATTTCCCATAGGGATTTGTGAGGCATCTGCCCAGTTAAAAAAAAACAAAACTGGATTCCCTGGGCTTCCTAAACTTTAACATCCCAGGCTCCAATTTACTGGGAAGTGTGCTCAGTATTTGGAGGGCACCTGCCAGAATCGAGCTCCATGTACTGCACAACCAGCATGTTCTCATGCACCAGGGTCTCCTGCTACTTGAGCACCTACAGCTAGTGCTGAAGAAGGCTTCTCATGGGGAGCTTGCCAGGAATGTAGCTCAGCAACCTCCAGGCAGGTCGGGTCCCCCTTCTGGGCCATCTGCAGTCAGTTTTTGGCTGCTGCAGCTGATGTAGAAGAAGGTTGCTGGTTGTGCACTGGGGGTCCTGCACCTCACTCAACTATATTGTGAAACCAGGCCGAGGACCAAAAGAAGCTATGAACTCTTGGTTGGATGAATCCTGATAGGGTTCATCCAAACCCAAGTCCACAATTTGGATAAAATACGGAGACATTGTGAGCTTATCGGTATGAGCACAATTGGTCACCTCGGACTATAATAACCTGAAGAAAGAATATTAACATTCTAACATTCTGCAGGAAGATGGGCACATAGGTAGCATAGATTATACTACTAATAAATGGAACACAGAGGAAGACATGAGTTTTGTTCACTGAAGAAGTGGGGGTTCCTCTAACGAGCCCTTTCTTTTATGTACTGCTTGAATTCCTTCAAGAAGGAATGCAACATGGAAACATAACGCCCACCAAGCATGATGTAAGTTATCTGTAATTATTTACATATAGTAATGCAAATACATATAACGTTATGGATGAATACAATCTGAGGGTCCACCTGTCTAGATTTTCCTGGTGTGAACAAATGTGATCTTTCCAGATACTTAGCTTTGTTTTGCTGGCTTCCCATCATTTCATTGCAGAGGAATGGCGGACAGTATTTCACTTTGCAGGTCCCAGAGCCTTGACTGCTGCAATCCACCACAGCACAGACACCATAAATTGAAATCCCCCCTTTTCTTTTACAGATATGGATGACTGTTCTGAATGTGAGAAAGATCATTATCCAAACCAGAGAAAGGACTCTTGCATCCCAAAGAATATAACATTCTTGTCCTATGAAGAAGTTTTGGGGGTCATTTCAGCCAGTTTTGCCCTTTCTTTTACATTTCTCACGGCTTTGGTTTTTGGAATCTTCATCAAGCATCAGGAGACTCCCATAGTCAAAGCCAACAATCGGAACCTCACCTACATGCTCCTAATCTCCTTACTGCTCTCCTTCCTTTGTGTTTTCCTGTTTATTGGGCAACCCCATAAACTGATGTGTCTCCTTCGACAACCAGCTTTTGGCATCATCTTCTCAGTGGCAGTTTCATGTGTGTTGGCCAAAACCATCATCGTGGTCATGGCTTTCATGGCCACCAAGCCAGGGTCCAGGATGAGGAAGTGGGTGGGAAAAAGCACGTCGAGCTCCATTGTTTTGTCCTGCTCTCTTATTCAAGCCAGTATTTGTGCTGTGTGGCTCACAACCTCTTCCCCATTCCCAGCTTTTGACATGCACTCAGTGACTGGCAAGATTGTACTGGAGTGCAATGAAGGGTCTGTCACCATGTTCTACTGTGTCCTGGGCTTTATGGGTTTCTTGGCCATCATCAGCTTCTGTGTGGCTTTCCTAGCCAGGACGTTACCGGATAGTTTTAATGAAGCCAAGTTCATCACCTTCAGCATGTTAGTGTTTTGTAGTGTGTGGGTGTCCTTTGTTCCAACTTATTTGAGCACAAAAGGAAAGTACCTGGTGGCTGTGGAGATCTTCTCCATCCTGGCCTCCAGTGCTGGGTTATTGGGGTGCATCTTTCTACCCAAATGCTATATCATTATGGTGAGGCCTGAACTGAACAGCAGGCAGCACCTGATGAAAAGAAAGTGTTAAGCATCTGAAAGATTGTCGTATGCCAGTCAAGGGGGAATAACGCCAATGGTGGGCAAATATGGGATTTACAGCAAATCATTGAAGAATCACCTGGGTGGTTTTTTTTGGTGGGGTGGAGTGGGGAGGAAGAGGAAAGAGAAATGCACATGTAGAACCCCAGAGAGAATTCCATAGTTTTGAATGACTTTAGAGTCAGTTCTGCACGTCATATTCTTTATTTTGTCCACATGGTTTTTCTGTTTTGGGAGAATACATATTTCACATTTAATATTTGCCCTCACACACAAATTGAGGTTTTAAAGCTTATGGAACTTAAATTCTCTTTCTCTGCACTTGGTTCCTGATTCAAAAATGTACAACTTTAAATTTCTTTCTTTATTATGGTATGCATTATGTGTATTGCATTTGCATATTAATACTATTGGTATACCTTGCTGTATATAACCATGTGTTTACTCTATGTACATCAAATATAAAAACCAATATCTAAGAAGGAGCAACTATAGCTACAATAAGTAGGTGAAATACATAAAAGAGGAAAAGAAGTAAACCCTATCAGCATCCTGATGGCAAATCAAAAGCTAAAATAGAGCATGAACAGCAGTAATTTCAGAGGAGGTTTAAAACATACCAAGTTTCTGCCACTCAAATTGCAAGAGTAATGTACGCTTCCGAGGCTACATTTGCTTTCAACATGTTTTGTAGTCATGTTCACCAGCAAGGCATTCTTTGAAGAGCTCAGAGGCAAGCTGGGTTAAAACACTCTGGAGGAAACTATTTAGAGCAATGAATACTGACAACATAATCTTTAACATAACCTACTAGGTCATGTACAAAAGGATCATGGG